GTTTTTTTTTTTCACAAAGTGACTTATATTTCAAATAAATCAATTTCCAAAATGAAATGATAGATAATCCCAAAAGAAGTAGTCATTAAATGAATGCTTTATAATATATATTTTAAACAGGGAATGCAATTTAATATGTATTTATTTGATCAACAATGACTACAATTATCGCTGAAACGTCTACATTTAAAATTTAAATTTTTAAAATGATTTAATAATAATTATATTTATTGAATATCATTTAATTGCAACTATTTTATGGTTTGTTAAAAGTAGCTATTAAGCTAAAAAAAATTATACTTTTTCATCTAACTTATTTAATTAGAAATATTTGGTCAAATAAATGACTAATAGTAAATTTAAATCATATTTTTTTAAGATTAATCATGTAATGACACTTATTACCATTCGTTTTCTTCTTCTTCATGTTCTTATTATACTAGTTAGACAATAATATTTACTTTTACTTTAATGTGTTTATATTTTAATTTTTTTTAACTGTATTGATAAGTGATTATATATATAATAAGTTAGAAGTTTAAAGAGTAATGTATATAATAAGTTGAGTAATAAGTGGTTGCAGTTTTTGCAATGAGCATAGTTTTTTGTAGTTTTAGATAAAACCAAAGACGGTATTAAAAAATTTGGCTGCTTCGTGTAAATTACATAATGATAATATATAACACCAATCTCTTAATGGAATCTCAATAAACTTATCTTGATCAAGTCTATCTATTAGCTATAATTCAACAGATACTGCACTCTGTAGGCTCTAGCTGCAGCTGTTGATTGAAATATATGTTTTTGTCCTCTCTCATAATTTTCATTGTTACAAAAGACAAAATATCTCAATAATTTTTCTCTTCCAACTAGTAAAATGCACTAGCGATCGAGTATAAAAATGGGAGTGAACCCCACCTCATTCCCTTTCTTCATTAATTCATTATTGTTCTTTATTTGATTTTTTTTTCATTTTTATAAAGTTCAAATCCGCATTGCTTAAAGAATTTGAACTCAATTTTATTTGGATTACATGCTTGTTATTACTTAATTATTTTGACAAATTAAAATAAGTATAAATTTTTGGTGAAAAAATATAATCACAGTTTAGCAACTCTTGAATGGTTACAAGATTTGCGGACTCTAGCCATAAGTGATTAGATGGCCTTTTGAGAACGATAAGGGGCATGTGAGGACAAAAATGGTCGATGAGATCGAGGTGGTGAACGTTGATACCTCGCGTAAAATGAAATGTTGTTTAAGGAAAAAATGATAATGTTTTACTTAAAATTTCATCCACAATTGCGTGCCATGATGTCCGACACAAACATGGCAGATCGATCGTGAAATGTCTTGGTAATAGAAGCGACAACGTTTTTACACATATTCAATTATTCATTCGGTCTGCATAAGTGCCACGATTCCTAACGGATTTTTCTAGACTTATTAAGTGATAAAGAGCTATGCTAATTAACGTATTGCTTCGTAGATTCTCATTCAAACATGAGATTTAGAGTTTTCCACGTAACAAAACACTTAAGACACTATTAAAATATGTCTAAAAAATTGGGTGAGTTTGCAGAATATATTATCTTCATTTTTGTTTCATTTGTTGTTTTCGTCTTTACTGTTAAAAATAATGAAAATCTGTCTCATGATAAACGTGGACGTGTATATATATACACATACATACATTAATTATATACTCCTCGAAACATGTATAATGGTACTTTTAGGGGGGAAAATGACCCCACAAAATCAATTACTGTGGAACAAATAATGATGTTTGATTCCATATAGGCAATCTAATAAGCTAACTCTTGAAGAAAAACAAAGGGTAATTAAATTAATTATTGCAATCGATAGACGATGCCTCTTCAAACAAAATTCACCCCAGGCGTCTCACTAGGGTCATATCCCTGGTGGTATAACCAATGGTTAAAAGAAAGAGCTGTTTTTTGGACGAGAACATTTCATGACGGGCTGGAAAACTCGTTGCCTGTTCATGACTGTTCTTTGATATTGGGCCTATTCATCAATCCAAAGTACAAACACTAAATCTTTTCTAAGGATTTACTATTGTCACCTCCCGAATTCTAATTAAAGCCTCACCTCTTCAAGAGTTTGTCTATTAGAAAAATGCTGATCGCGTTTTTGCACACTACCACCAACAACGGCAACAAATAGGCTGTATAACTGGATAAGATTTTGCTAATGATTATGTTTGGATGTTAATCCAGTTTTTAATTTTTTTGAGTAGGAGATAAGTTTCTTTGATCTCATTAGTAAGTCTATACGTCGAGCGGTTAGCACCCAAGACCGAGATCGCTCTATCTACTATAGAAACGCTCGAACACTCGTCAACTCTATCAAATGTTCGTTAACTCAATCAAAGTTAAAAACGCTCTTCAAACCACATCAAGTAAGTCAGTGCACGTTAAAAGTCAAACCACACTCAATCAATCGGACCAAACCAAGTTCAGCGGACGCTCAATTAAGTTAAACAATGTTGGGCCAATTAGCCCAACATTTAAGTAATTCGACCAATAGTCCACCAGAAGAAGAAATAGTAAAAAAAATTTGACTTTAATATTGCGAATTACCGGGGCAACTAACCGAATTTTAAGGTAATCAGTTTGTTTTACATTTTTAGATTAAATACAACAGAGGCTAAGGAAAAAATACACGTTTTGCTCTAAGACTAAAAAGACCTTCTTGTGAGAAAAAGATCACTTGCTTGAGAATTGAGGTTCCATAACTTATATTTAACTTTAGCATCGGAGTATCTTCGAGGTACCCATCCACTTCCATTGAGGTGGACTACATCAGTGAAAGGAGTGTAAACAATTCCCAGAGAGTGAACAGGCGATATCATTGGAGGAAGAGCAAACGTCCTCGATGTTCAGCAGTAGTAAAGCACCATCAACAAGGTTCGTATCTCGGTCCCAAATAATCATATAATTTTTTTTACCAATTTAACACTTTTAAATATGTTAAAATGTTAACTTCTGATTTTTTTTATATTTAAATTATTTAAATCTTCCTTTTACTTTTTATTCTATACGATAATTTTTTTTTGCTTTTTGTAAGGTAACATTTATTATATTTTTTAATAAAATAGTTTTTTTTACCTTTTTTTATTGTGTAAGTAATATTTTATAATAAAAAATAGCCTTTTCATATTTAAACAATTATTTTATTTGTTTCCTTTGAAAATTCATTACGCTATGTGTAATATTTGTTTTATATATTATATTGATATTAAGTTTGAAGATGTTGATATTAGAATTCAGCGGTTGGTTCAGAAACCCCCTCCGTTAGGATTGGTTGTGCCCTTTACTTGATACATATAAAAGTTGCTTAAAGTGTATCTTTAATCATTCATAATAATATATAAATTCATCCCACCATTAAATTCTATATTCTTATCAATTATATAATGTCTACAAGCTTCCACATAATTTAAATTTTTTTAGATTTTATATAATGGGGTTTGCTAACGCGAGTACGCCTGTTTTTCAGTTGGTACATTTTAGCAATGTGTACCGTTTTTTAGTAGATAAAAATACCCTTATATATTATGGATTCTAAGTTTTAAGGTTAAGGGTATTTTAATAATTTTCATTCTCAAAACTTAAAAAAAAAAAAAGAAAACCCCAAATCCTTGCTCACCTCTCTCATTCCTCTCAATCCTTTCTCTTTCATCTCTCTCACTCCAACCTTTTCTCTGTCATCCCTACTGTAGTCCCAATTGAAAATATCAGAAACACTTGCCTTTAAACAATTTGCCTTTGTAAAGAGTTGAGTCATTGACATATTCACCTTCAGGCAAAGGTTCATTCAAGATCTCTTCAATTTCACCATCTTCACTAATTTCTCTAATTTCATCATCTGCATATGTTGAATCATCATCTCTAAAAGAAAACCCTCCAGGCCAATTACCAATTCTTTCGGATGTCAATTATGCTTGTGAAAATTAGATAAAATTATATACGACAAAAATTATAAAATGAAAACTCATTATAAAGTCATTTTTTGTAAGAAATTGTTTAACAACGAGCGTTTCTGATTTTTTCCAGGCCAATTACCAATTCCTCTGATGTCATTATGCTTGTGAAAATTAGATAAAATTAGATAAGACAAAAATTATAAAATAAAAACTCATTATAAAGTCATTTTTTGTAAGAAATTGTTTAACAACGAGCGTTTCTGATTTTTTCCAGGCCAATTACCAATTCCTCTGATGTCATTATGCTTGTGAAAATTAGATAAAATTAGATAAGACAAAAATTATAAAATAAAAACTCATTATAAAATCATTTTTTGTAAGAAATTGTTTAACAAGTATTTCTGATTTTTTTCCAGGTCAATTACCAATTCTTTTATGCTTGTGAAAATTGGATAAAATTAGATGAGACAAAAATTATAAGATCAAAACTCATTATAAAATCATTTTTTTGTAAGATTGTTTAACGGCAAGTGTTTCTGATTTTTTCAATTGGGGCTACAGTAGAGTGTTTCTGATTTTTTCAATTGAGACTCCAGTAGGGATGACAGAGACAGGAGGGTGTTTCTGATTTTTTCAATTGGGACTACAGTAGGGATGACAGAGAAAAGGTTAGAGTGAGAGAGATGAAAGAGAAATGATTGAGAGGAATGAGAGAGGTGAGCAAGGATTTCGGGGTTTCTTTTTTTTTTTTAAGTTTTGAGAATCAAAATTATTAAAATACCCTTAACCTTAAAACTTAGAATCCATGATATATAAAGATATTTTTGTCTACTAAAACCCGGTACATATTGCTAAAATGTACCAACTGAAAAACAGGCGTACGCGCGTTAGCAAACCCCTTTTCACTAATATTGACATTTATATTATCTTTGTCCCTATAAAATTTATAATATATTAAACACGTTTCCTTAAAATTGTTCCTATTATTTTCTTCGTCCCAAATTTAAATATGACAACCTTAAGATAATGTTAATAAGAAATGTTATGCAGTAAAAAATGTGTTGACGTAAAATTTCCGTGTGAATGGTTACATATAAAACTTAAAAATACATGATAGCATGAAAGAAAGATAGAGAAAAATAAGATTATGGCAAGAGTAAAAACGTAAGGATAGATCTTAAGAAAAAGGAAAGGGGTTAGTTAAGCAGAGTTTTGAGGTGATAAATTGTGGATGGAGGGAGGAGGAGGAGCAATGAAATGTTTAACGAGGTGATGGAGCCGGTTTTGGTGGAGAGGATCGCGAACTTCAGCTCCATGGGATCCCGTTAGACTAAAGTTCGTCAGAACGGGAACGCCCTTCTCCGCCACCAGTGTGGCCAGACCAATCTGATGGTCGACCAGAGGGTCGTCTTGGCACCCACTCACCAACACGCGCCACCCCAGCTCCCTCACTCTCTCCAAAATCACGCCGCCATTGCCACCACGAGGATTGCAATACTCGTGCTCGCGGTCAACCCCAACTGGCAACGACAGATCCCACAGCACGTCACACACGTGCGGCGCCAAAACCGGATCCTCCGCAAGCCTCATCTCAGAAGGAACCCTCTCTGTGGCCCCGAAAAACGGTTGACTCAATATCATCCCTCGGATCTTAAGTGGCTCCAGGTAATTAATCCCATCAGAGCTAGTTTCGGCCGCCACACGTAGAGCCGCGTGGTACGCGATGTTCGCTCCGGCGCTACTTCCCATGAGGTAACAGTTGGAATAGTCGGCGTGGTTTCTCAACCAATCGTGTGGCTTGGATTTAAGCCAGTGAAGCGCTTCGACGGCGTCGTCATAGGCAGTGGGGAGTCGGTGTTCGGGGGCGAGACGGTAGTCGACGGAAACGACGATGGAATTGGTGTCTTTTGCGAGGTTTACGCAGGCGTCGTGGAAGAAGTGTGTGGCGGCGCTGAATAGGATGAAGCCGCCGCCGTGGAAGAAAACGATGAGAGGGAGGTTGGTGGAGGAATTATGGAGCGCAGGACGTGGGAGGAATATGCGGGCGAAGGTTTTGTTTGATTGGTTGATGGTTGTGTCTTGGGTGAGAACGGGGATGGGGAGGGTGGGATCGAAAGTTGGATGAGTGTGTGGGTCTGCACGTAGGCGAGTGATGGTGCCGTCTGAGTTTGGGAGGATTTTCAGATGGTGGAAGGGATCCACTTGCCCAGACACAAACATTCTCCTTCTCTCCTATTTGATAATTATGACTTTAATTCTTAGGGCTGTTCCCTTCACAAACTCCTTATAAATATTATTCCACACTATAACTAGAGTTTTTTTTATGAACTAATCACCTCGTCTCAGATAAATTTGGTCTCAGATAAATTTAATATTTTATTTTTGTTTCAGGCTATTCTCCTAAAAATTGAGAATTTTAAATAGGATATTGTTAAATTTCACAATTAACAAATTTCCATACTTCTTTTATATTTATTATTTTATTCTTTAACTTTTTTTACAAATATAATAATCTAGTTTTTTAATAATTAAATTACTTCGAAAAATAGATTGTAAAGTAGTGTTTTTTAATATAAAAAGCACATTTTTATAAATTTTTTAAGTTGGGTCAATTTGATTTAGAAATTATTTAAATGGATTGCTTTTAAAATAAATGGGATTAAGTTATTTTATATAAACATGATTTTATTGTGAAGAAGCCGTCTGATCTAATTAAATAACTTCTACTGTATAAAACTAGAGTCATTGTAAAACACAACTTTCATATTAATTATAAAGTCGTTAGGTCAAACGCAACTTAACTTAAAATTAATCAAAAATGAGTAAAGTTGTAATAGAAAATAAAACTTAAATATATAATTATTTGAACTAAAATAATAAATAGATGACACAACTTCTTCAAAACTTTTATACTAAACACCTTTATTAATTTTTCATTATTTTATTATTTTTTAATTATATAGAAATCGTGCATGCAACCTTTCTTAATTTTATATGATTTTATTTAAGTGTGATTAATTTTAAATAAAATTATGTTTGATCTAGGACTTTATAATTATATAGTGTTTTGTAAAAATTGAGAAACTAGAAGTGATCTAACTTTTTTGTGACGACTTTACGAAATTAGAAGTGATCTGAACTTTTTTATGACGACTTTAGGAAAATTAGAAGTCATATGAACTTTTTATCACGACTCCTAGTAAGGTCGTGACATTCTAATTTTTAAAAAAATTAACCAAATGAGTAAAATCAAATTAGACCAGATCGGTCAATTTGTCTACTTTTTTCTTGCAAATATGAGGTGATATTTTGTGGCCGTTTTCCTTTATGGTTTTACTTTTTTATGGTTTTTGAGCACAAGAATGATATAAATAGCTTGGTTTATTAAACATTGGGTGCATAAAACATAAAAAACAACCAAAAAAGTAGCTAATGAAGAGTTTTAAGTAAACGAAAGACTTGGAGGGACATGGAAGGGTCACCGACAAAGATGCCATGTCGACCCCCTTCATAAAACTTTCCAACCACGTTCACACCGTTATGCTCAAGCAATTTCACCAGCTCTCTCTCGCGGGCCACCAGTGGGTCCCCTTCACATCCAAACACCGCAACCCTCCAACCAAGAACCTTAAGCTCATCCAAAATCTTATCTCCACCGTTGATAGTTGGATTTGAATACGGGTAATCACGGTCAACGCCAACGGGCAGCGACAGATTCCACATCAGATCTGTGATAGGCAAAGGTATAGTGTTGTCCTCGGCAAGCCTTATCTCTGATGGACTCCTCTTCTTCCCACCAAAAAACGGTTGAATCAATATCAACCCTGCAATCTTCAGCGGTTTCAACTTGCCAACCTCCGCCGCCGCACGTAGACCAGCCGTGTAGGCAATGTTTCCCCCGGCACTCTCCCCCATCAGATAGCAGCGGGAGTAATCGGCGTGGCGCAACCAGGCGTCGTTGGAGGCTTTGATCCAGTGCAGCGCCTCCACGGAGTCTTCGTAGGCGGCGGGGAGGCGGTGCTCCGGGGCGAGGCGGTAGTCGACCGAAACCACGACGGACTGCGTGGTGTGGGCCATTCTGACGCAGAAGTCGTGGAAGTAAGTGGAGGCTGCACTTTCGAAGATGAAGCCTCCGCCGTGGTAGAAGACGATGAGGGGTAGTTTGGGGTTGGGGGAATGATGGAGTGATTTGTGGGGTAGGTAGATCCGCGCCCAGGTGTGGTTGAATTTGTTGATGGGGAGGTCTTTGGAGAGAACCGGTGTGGGGAGCGAGGGATCCGGCGAGGGAGGGCTTTGCGGCGAAATGCTTAAGCGTGTGAGGGTGCCGTTTGGGTTGAGGATGATGTTGAGGGCTTTGTAGGGATCCATGGCTGAGTTAGCAAGCATTGATGCATGGACGAGAATCAGATACACTGAGACCGCAGTAAACACTGTGTGCAGTGTCATGGCTGATAAAAAATCTTCTTTGATTGATTCCTTCAAAGTTCAAACGGAGTGTTATATAATAAGAAAATCTTAGAAGGCATAAAAACCCGTAAAATCCGCTAAATATATTTAGTACCCGCGGTGTTTTAATATCCGTTAGTTAACGGGTCGGGTTCGGGTTCGTATTTGCAGATATTTCGTTTGCAAAATAAAATTATAATTTTATCTTTTTTACATTAAATTGTTTTCCAAGCGTTTGTGCCGAACCCTAAATCTCACTTCTTCTTCTCCTACACTGTTCTTTCATTCTCATTGCCCTCACAGAAGGAGAGAAAAAAAAAATGAAGTTCAATGGGTTTCCTCTAGCCGGCGCAACAGCCGCAAGAGCCATTTCACGGCGTCGGTCCTTCGCGTGCTGATGAGTGTGCCGCTCTCCACAGATCTCCAGTCTAAATACAACGTACGTTCCATTCCACGCGAAATCGAAGCAGGGACGGCGGCGAACAAAGCGAGAACGACCCTTAGGGTCTGCCTTTTCTGAAAAAATAAGAGAAAGAAAGGATTTTGTTCTACTGGTGTTTCAGATATGACAATGCTAGCGGTAACCATGGAAGATCCACCCGTGGAAGAAGAAAGCAGCTGCCTTTTATCTATCTGAAGGAAACGAACCCTATCTTCTTTTGCAGACACCTTACGGCTTCCTTGTGTATGCTTCCCGAGCCTTTTTAGTTTTCTTTTTACGCTTTTATTTATTTTATTTTATTTTTTACTGCAAAGAAAACCTCAAGAAAAATTTTGCGCATGCCCATTTTTTAAGAAAAACTTTATAAAAAAAAGTAATTTGGACTTTTGGACTGTTTTTATAAAATAAAGGATTTGAATATTGTTCCAATTTTATTTTTGAAAATTATATATATTTTTATTAAATTAATTTGAATATTTTAAAAATCATAATTTATTTTAACTATTTGCGGGTTAAAATGGGTATCTAATGAATATCTGTGAGTTGAAAAGAATCTGAGAATTTTTTTATGCGGGTATCTAATGAATATCTATGAGTTGAAAAGATTTTCTACATGCGGGTTATAGGTGAACACTGTTCGTATCCGATCCATTGAAATAAGTAGGTCCACCAAATGAGATGCTTGTGTATATCTATTATTATTTATTTAATTTTAGTAGAATCTGATGCTGGCTAAGTGAAGAAACTGGTGTCTACTCGGAGCTTTTGCAACATGGTCTGGTGAGTTTGTTGTTGTGGCCTGAAGATAATTGAGAACAGCTCGCAAATAGCTACGGGACAAAAACAAAGTCATAAATAATGTTTTAACATAATTGAAAGTTGGCATCAACAAAAGTAGAGACATTAAGACTCATTTCTTTTCTCTGTAGAATAAGGATGGTGAGATTTCGACTCTGAGACCGGTTACACAAATCCAACCATGCGTATTGATTTCAATTGTGTAGAATTGTCCATGGATTAATAAATATATTAATTCAATAATAAAATAATATGAAAATATAGGAATCGCATATTATTTTATGTTATAATATTCAAAATAAAAAGAATATTAGGATCAAAATATCAAAACGCTCACCACAATCAAGAAGATTGCAAGATTGCTAGAGCAATAAATTATCTCCGGTCGCATTTTATTTTTAAAAACATTATTTATTTCACTCCGTTAAAATATTTTTTTTTCTATTCTTCTTTGTCACACTCGTACGGTTTTCATTGAAGACGTTTATCAATATTTTCAAACTCTAGTTAGTAATATTTTTATTAATAATTATTTTTCCTTATTATTAGTTAAGAGTGTAAACCTAAAACATAATTAAAATGATTGTATTAACGGTTTTTATTTTAGCACTAGAGCAGAGCCACTTTGGATACTTCCATTAAATTAGAAGTTGGAGAGGAGAAAAATGTTTAAAACGATAAATTCAAAGTTTGCGTAACCCCATATATATATATATATATATATATATATATATATATTATAAAAATTGTAGGACTGCATAGTAAAAATATACAACACTATGAAAGACAAATATATTAAATATCCATCTGATTTCGTGATTAAGAAGAATTATTATAAATTTCACTAACAACCAAGAGTTTATCTTATTCTAAGTTTATCATCATCACTTGGTATTTTCAACTTGGACTGTGTTCTTCTAATCTCTCCATAGTTTTCTTCATATTTATCATCTTCATTAGTGTGAATTAAATTTGGAATCTCTTTTTTTCTCCTCCCAATGCCACCCTTGAGCCACTCCACGACCTCTACCATGCTAGGCCTTTTTTCTGGATTACTTTCTGTGCACCTTATAGCTATCATGATCACAGATTTCAACTGCTCTAAATCAAATCGTCCCTTTAATTTTGAATCAACGATATGAGTGAAGTTACCCTTTTGAACATGAGGTGTAACCCACTGAACTATATCTCTTTTCACTCCGCCTTGAAGTTTCTCAATTGGCTTCTTGGCACTCACAATCTCCAAAAGCAAAATCCCAAAACTGTAAACATCACAGCTCTCAGAAACCTTCCCCCACATGGCATATTCTGGAGCCAAATATCCAAGGGTGCCTTTAACCCTTGTTGTCAGATGGCTTACACCCTCTGGTATCAGCTTAGCAAACCCAAAATCAGCAACCTTCGCTTCAAATTCAGAGTCTAAAAGAACATTGCTTGCTTTTATGTCTCTATGAATGATGTGAGGATTTGCCTCATGGTGCAAATACCTTAACCAAACAAAAACACCTCATATATATATATATAAACCACAAAGTTTAATGATTTCAATATCATATATAATCTCAAAGAAAAGGATTGCAATATATGTGAAACATGGAAGTAAGTAAATTTTCTGTGATAACTATATATCAGGATAAGAGTTGCAGAAGTAGATTAATGAGAGGTGAAAGGAACACATACACCAAGCCTTCAGCTGCTCCAATTGCTATGCTCATTCTTCTAGGCCAATCTAACAAACAATCTTTGGCAAGTTGACCATGCAAATGATTGAGCAAACTGTGATTAGACATGTAATCATACACAATTAACCTTTCTTCACCTCCTGCATAGAATCCACGCAACCCCAACAAATTCTTATGCCTCACCCTTCCTAGTACTTCCACTTCCACTGCAAACTCCATCTCTGCCTTTGCAGTCATCATCTTCAACCGCTTCACTGCGATCTGCAAAGTTCCATTCATTACAATGCATTACAAACAAATGTCTCATAATAGCTCAAATTAAGGTTTACGAGAAACGAATAAAATACACTCAAAGCTTTAAAGAAATATATTATATATGTATGAATATAATTGCCTCGACGCCTTTACTTGTTCGACCCCAATAAACACTTCCAAATCCACCCTCTCCTATCTTATTATCTTGATGGAAATTGTTTGTTGCACGAAGCAACTCCTTCAAGGTGTATATTTCCCATGGATAGTCCCTTTTCTTCTTCTCCTTCTCGTTTCTACAGAAAAAGTAAAATACGCAACTCAAAATATCTGCATATTATTAGGAGATCATCATCAGAAATTCGTGGACATGACATGAAGTAATTTGATGAAAGCTTACTGTATCTCGGATTGCTCTTTATCACAGAGAAAACAGCTGAAACATTTAAACTGCATTTCTTTGTCTCTCTAGGAATTCACAACTGGAAAATTGATGGAAATTTTTGAGGGAAGTGGGAAGAAGAGAAAAAATAGATTTGGGAGGAAAGAACAAAAATATATCGGCAAATGCAAAGAAACAATATAAGAATTAAGATGACGACAAAGGGCTGCTGCCTTGGAAGTCAAGGACTTTGAACAAAACCGAATTCAGTGAGTATTATATAATCAAATGGGTGTATGCTTGTGTTTACAAGCTTTTCTCAACCCAAATTTCCATTGAAAATGTCACACTTTTATAAATATTCCTGTCGGAAGAAGCATTCTTGAACGTTTTATTCAAGAGTTAAATTTTTACAACTTTTTTAATTATTCTACGCTCTTTTTTTTTTTTTTATCTTTTCTCAATAAATCAACTATCTTATTTCAGATCATATCCTTTTCGAGAAAAATGTAATTGCTTTTGTATAAATTGTATTAATGGTAATTTAAAAATCTAATGAAAGGATAATGATGCAAGCAATCGAAGCATAGCTAATTCTTTAGTTTTTTTTCAGTAGAACAATTTAAGAGCGGTCAAACAAAGCTAATGAAACTGTAAATTGTGTTAGGCTTGTAACTAGTTGACAAAAAGTCTTAATCAGAGACAGTTAGCAATTGCTCGTTCATAATAAGAAAAGAATAGTCCATAATTGTGCTTTTGGGACAAGTACTATGAGAATTGCGGTCCAAGGAGTTTGACGCAAGCAATACAATTTTTTCTAAAATAAAATTACTGAAAACAATTTTATAATTAATTTTTAGATTATCATTTTCTTCTTGTTATCTCAACCTGTTTTTTAAGGTTAATCTGTCAATTTTACATCTTCATTATAATAAGCATTGGGCCGCACGAAAATAAAGAAAATACTTCTTTAAGAAATTGTTCAAATTAACGCAGAAGTGTAATTTAATTTAAATTGATAAAGATATTGTATTATATAAAATATAGGAGTTAATGGTCATGGACAAATATAGATACTAATAATGGATTACTGGGTTTTATTACCTAAAAATATATTATATTAATGGTTAATCAATGAGCCTGCCAGCCACAGACCTTATAAATATACGATTGATTGATGTTCAGGTAAAATGACATTTTTTTATAAAGTGGATTGCATTCTCGGAAATGATTGAAGATCAAAAGAGAGCAAAGGACGACCGACCCTCAGACCAATTTACCCGAAACATTTTGGCGCCCACCGTGGGATCGAGCGGCATCCCCATGAAACCACGAAGAACTAGACGCGCGCTCGATCTCGACATTGCTACTTCGGATCAACACCAGGTTTTGCAACAAGAGTAAAAAATTCCGTAATAAAGGCATGTCTTTTGTTTTGAGAACTTTTAGGAATGTTTCAGGCATGTTCCACTTTTCATTATAATTTATAAATTATAATATATTTAACTAATATTTTTTTTTACGTTCCACTTTTCATCATAATTTATAAATTATAATATATTTGTTTAACTCCTATTTTTGTGAGTAAAAATATCCTACACAAGAAGGTTCAGTCCTACGTTCAACCTTGACAGGTTCCACTTTCAGTCCTACGTTCAACCTTGATAAGTTTCACTTTTCATTATAATTTATAAATTATAATATATTTGTTTAACTCATATCTTCACTCCTACATTCAACCTTATCAGGTTCTAATGTTATCTCATTATAAAATAAAATGTTGAATATTTTACTTAAAGGCTTATTTTTGTGAGTAAAAATATCTCGCACGGGAAGGTTCACACTAAAGTTCAATCTTATCAGGTTCCAATGCCATCTCGTTATAAGAATAAAATATTGAATATTTTGCTTTAATGCATGCTTTTTGTGAGTAAAAATATTTTGCACAGGAAGATTCAATCCTCTACAACATGTTCACCGTTCGGGGTGAAGTTTGAGAAAGGGCTTTAGAAATTCCCGCTCAACGTAGGAAGTTAGTAAAACAACTCCTGCCTCAAGCCGCTCGGGAGAAGTCCGAAAAAGGGCTTCAGAAATCTCCGCTCAACGCAGGAAGTTAGCAAAATAACTCCTGCCTCAAGCCGCTCGGGAGAAGTAAGGGCTTTAGAAATCCCCGCTCAACACAGGAAGTTAAAAAAATAACTCCTGCCTCAAGCTGCTCGGGGGAAGTCCGAAAAAGGGCTTTAGAAATCTCCGCTCAACGCAGGAAGTTAGCAAAATAACTCCTGCCTCAAGCCGATCGGGGGAAGTCCGAAAAAGGCTTTAGAAATCCCCGCTCAACGCAGGAAGTTCGAAAAAGAACTATTAGTCGACTACTCAGCAGGTTCAGCTTTGTCAGCTTCCAATGAATTTTCATTATAAAATATTGAAGCGTTTACTTTATTTTATTTAAACGCATATTTTTTGGAGTGAAAATCTCTTGCACAGGAAAAAGTTTCAAAGAAAACACTTAGCATTTTTTATTCAATATAGGGAACAGTTCCAAAGAGAACTCCTAGAGTTCGCCGCTCGGAATAGGGAGCAAGGAAGACTTAAAGCGCATCGAAGATGTCTCTAAATACAACATGAACTACCTCTTTTAAAGCTCATAATAATCCCTACGCAACTCTTTCAACAAAGAGCTCGCTTGGGCTTCGGGGGCTTATGTACTATATAAAATATACCGATCGGAGTTAATGGTCATTCATGGGCAATTATCAGGTATTAATATGTCATATTGCCTTACACTTTACAAATATACGGTATTAATAATTGATTATTGGGTTTGATTACCTAAAAATATACTACACTAATGGTTAATCAATGGGCCTGCCTGCCACAGGCCCTACAAATATACGATTGATGTTCAGGTAAAATGATCTTTTTCTATCATAATAAAATAGTCATATCTTTTTGCAGGTCAACAACTCATCAAAGTGGATTGCATTCTCGGAGAGGATTGAAGATCAAAAGAGAGCAGAACAAGGAAGGACGATCGACCCTTAGACCAATTTAACCGAAACAAATATTATTAAATTTAAACTACTCTACTTGAAAAATAAAGTATAATAGTTAAGACATGAATAAATATTTTGATATTCCATATCCATATGACAATATTTTGATTTTTTGTTCTCATCATTTTCATCATGCAGTGAAACATTTCTTTCAACAATTAAAACAATTTTGTAAAGATTTTATCAATCTATCCATTTAATGCTTTCAAATTCATCATCTTAACATTATGAATCATATCCTCTTCTTATCTTCCATTATCTAATCAATAGATTCATGGGTTTAATCCTTTCGAACATCCCTATTTCTGTAGGATCGTCTCAAGTAAGTCCTCGTATTGTAAATGTTCTCGATTAGGTCCCTTATTATGAAAAATTGAATCAATTTAGGCCTTACCGTTAGTTCCATACTAACACCGTTAAAGGGGGTGACACGTGTCAGTTCGTGGTATTTTTTAATTTTTTAATTATATTTTTATTATTTTTATTTTTATTTTTTATTTTATTTTTTTAAAAGTAAAATTTAAAAATGCCACGTGTCAAACTGATAGTGTGCCACGTGGCAATGGCAGTGTGACATGGCACTGACAGTGCCACATGTCATTGTCAGGCCACGTGTCATTGCGTTAGTCTCAATTTGGTCCCTGTATTTTTATTATGTTGCAATTTAATCCCTGTATTTTTATTTTGTCTCAATTTAGTCTTAATTTTAAAGATTAAACAATTTTTCCCTCCTCAAATTCAAACAAAGTTTAAATTGTATATATTTAAATAACATAACATAACACCAGCATGTTATGTCACTCTTTTTTTTAAATCCTTATAGATATATTTAAATAACATAATTAACATTTCTATGATTAAGTAAATATAAATATAATTAAACTTAATCTTGTTAAAAATATTTATTAAAAATATTAATTTTAATAAAAAAATTTGTTAAGATTTATATACAATTTAAATTTTGTTTGAATTTGAGGAGGGAAAAAATTGTTTAATCTTTAAAATTAAGACTAAATTGAAACAAAATAAAAATACAGGGATCAAATTGCAACATAATAAAAATACAGGGACCAAATTGAGACTAACGCAATGACACGTGGCCTGACAATGACATGTGGCACT